GTAGCTACAGATAAAGACAAAGGTAAAATCAAACTATTAGCTAGTAGTTGGATCTACCACATGACATAATTTGAAAGCTGTATTTATTAGCTTGTTTACAGTAATGTGACTTTTTTAAAAAATTGAGTTTATTGGTGCATTTTAGGTATACAGTACAGTTACATTCATTATTGGGATCTTGTACCTTTACATGACAGGTCTTGGTTCTCATTTTTTCCCCTTGTCTCTGCCCTCCCTTCACCCCCTCCTCCCTTCCCCATTTACAAACACTTTATTTCCATTTTTCATTTTCTCATATTTTTTTCTTTTTCCCTTATTACCTTTCCCCTACCCTTCCCACTTTCCCTACACCTTTAGCCCTTTTCTTCCTATTTCACATTATAATAGCACATAAGATCCTAATGAGATAATTGACAATGTGAAACAATGTGACTTTTTTATGTGAAATACTTTTTAAAAGATAGTTTAGTTTGTATTATATGTGGAAGTACAAATTGCATTGAAATCTTGAAGGGTAACCTATATGACCATTGCTAAGATGAATAGTGAGACTGAAAGTATTATAGGAACTCGCAGAAGACAAGGCTGGGGAGATAGGAAGCTGGAGATCACTTTGAGGTTTGGGTAAGAGGAAGGGGAAGAAAATGAACCAGGTATGAAGTAAAGCATGGGAGAAAGTATGGATCATCATCTGCCAAACCCTGAGGAAGTCTGGAGGTTTTCTAGGACTATTTGGTCTCAGAGTTACTTATTTAGGTTCACCTTTATCTGAAGCCATGAGTACTTCCCTGAATAGGCCTTACATGTCACAGAACAGTATGGATTGGTCATTAAAAATGCCTGCATTAAAATTGGCAAGATTTAAGTTTAAATTTCAGCTCTGCCAATTTTAAGCTCTGAGAATGATAGTAAGTTGAGCTTCTTCAAGTTTCAGTTTTCTTGTCTCTAAAAAGATGGGAGAGAAAGCAGTTACATTATAGGATTGCAGCTAGATGACCATTTGAGGCAAGCAGCGGCCCATGTTGGGCAGTGCTCGTTTCAGTGGATATTGTTGGTTTCAATGTCTTGTGATCATAAAGACCCAATACAACTCATCCTCTTTCATACCAAACTTCGACCTCCTCGATGAATGGCTATTTCAGCAGCTGCATCATCTAGAAACCGTCTGGTGGGGCCAGGGATTTAGCTCAGTCGTTCCCCACTTGGCGGGCAGGCGCAAGGACCCAAATTCAATCTCCAGTACCAGAAATAGACAGAAAGAAACAAAGAGAAAGAAAGCAAGCAAGCAAGCAAGCAAGCAGCTGGTTAATCTTAATGTGTTCTTTCTTTGTCCCTTACATTTAAATAATGTCAAGTCTTATTGATTTGACGTAAAACAGAGAGTAATCTGTTTCTCTCTACTGATCTCATCCTGGTCCAAACTAATATTGTCAGTTACGTAAATCATTGCAATAACCTCCAAATTCCTCTGTACCAATTAATTTTATCCCCTTTCAATCCACTTGCTATTCAGAAGATCAAATGGTCATCTTTTACAAATGCAACTCTAAGCCTATTGCTCTTTGCTGGAAACCTTTCAATGGCTATTCATTACACTGAGGGTTAAGACCAAACCTCTTCGTCTGTAGGACTTTTCACTGTCTTTTTGCTGTTGTGTCCCCTGTTTCACTTCATATTCTCCAGCCTGACTTCTAGATTCTATTTCCAGTGCTTCTTTCTCTTTTTCCAGTGCTCTTTGTTCAGGGCCTTGGCTCCTCCCTCTGGCTAGAAAGCTTCTGTGCTCCTCCTCCCTGTGTGTCTTTCAGATTTTAACTCAGTCCTGTCTTCCTTGTAGAGATCCTTGCTGATGCCATCAAACCTATTATTCTTCATGGGAAATTCAGTGCAATTGTAATTAAAATCAATTCTATAATCTCTTCTTAAATGACTTGTTTTTCCCCCAGTGGGGAGAAAGTTCAAGGCTATGAACAAAAATAAGACAATCCTTGCCATCATAGAACTCTCATTTTTAATGGAAAAATTGATAATTAACTGGCAATTACATAAATATTTAGATGTTGGACAAATACTATTGAACAAATGGAGTGGTCAGCACATTTTGCAGGGGAGCAATGCTGTCAAAAATTCTATTTTTTTCTCAGATAGTGTACATCAAAAACTCCAACATTAGTAAGATAGAGTCAAATGGTCTGGTTTCTCTTCAGGAGACTTGGAAGCTTGCCATCTGTTCCCAATGTCCGCTGTCCCAAGACAGAGTCTCTTGCTGGGCTGGACGGTCTTCCTGAAAATTGTAAGGAAACATGTGAGCCCATGGAAGAGCATAGTTGTATGTGTCCTCTACCTTCTGCTTTGGCTGCGTCCCTCCTGCTCTCCAAATTGGGCTTGGCGAGGCTGGGCCAAATCACAGAGCAAGTGTCTCCGTGAGGTGTGATGTCCTTGCCCACCATGCGATCCTTGGCAGGACATCTTGTCTTCCTTTCTACAGCTGCCTTCATCGTCTGGGATGACCGGTACAGAGTGATGTCCCTTTAACAAGGATGCTCTCTTTGATTCCCACATTCATCCACAGCCCCTGGACTGATGCAAAGTGTATGGCTCTTATAATATTATGCAAAGATTTCTGCAGCCGCAGTTCTCAGTCCATTGTGCTTTCTGATGCTTTGAGAATTGAATCCTATTAATGAAAGTGTATTGCCTCATTAAAAATAATTTCCAACTGTAATTAAAATAAATGCTTCAAATAGTGTGGGTTTTTAGGTCAAAAATTCTATTAAGAACTTTATAGTGCATTGAGGTTTTTATGTATGAAATTTTGTGAATGAAAGACAAAATAATTAGCTACAATAGAATGCTGTCTTTAAAAGTAGAATATCTTATAGCCATGAAAAATAGAATATGTTGGATGATATCACTGGAGTACTATGTGAAAGAGAACAAATTTCAAACTTTATGTTTAGTGTAATTCTACTTTTGTAAAGTAAGTAAATAAACTGATATATAGATTTACAGATCTGGGCATTCAGGAGGGAGGGAGAGAGGGAATCAGAGGCACAGAAACAGAGAGAAATCAAGAACATGAGTGAATGTCCACCAAAGTCACAGGGGGACAGGTAGAGCATGAGCTGGCTGCACTGGGTGGTCAGTTGGATTAGGGCTGGGAGACTTCACTTTTGCTAATTTCCAAATACATATTTAAGCCTCAGTCTCCCCTTCACTAGAAGTGAGCCTTCCCGAGTGCAGGAATACCCGCAATATTCATTTAGCTGAAAGTGCTTCCCGGGCAGCACTTTTCTCAGGTAACCGAGAACTCTCTGACTTCCGTGCTGAGAGACCTCGCTGGGCTCAGGGCAAGGGAAAGACTGTGAAATTGTTCTGACCAGTGTTTCTCTCTACCTTTTACAAAATCCTCAGCATCTTCCTCTTGAAGGAGCCCTTCCCATCTCCTGCGGTCAGATTTTCCACACACTGACCTTGGTTGCCCCATACCAGTTTGCAAATTTGCATTTGATGGATTTCAATGATCTTTTTTGTAATCATTGCTTTTTTTAAAATCTCAAAAATAACTGAACATTATTTTTTAAAAATCATCAATTTACAAATACAACGTAAAAATATCCCCAATTCTCCTTGGCCACCTACCAAACAGAATGTCCTGAAACAACCACTGTAAAAAGTAGCCCTTATAGGGAAAAGAAAAAAATGTGAGAGAATGAAAAGA